GCTTCACCAGCCCATGGACCTCATCCTGGGCAGGGGCCTGAGGGCAGGACCAAGGCTCTGGTCACAGCACAGGAGCCCGCGGGACTCCAGGATATCTGCTCCAACTTCCTCGGCTGACAGAGGAAGGAACTGGGGCCCAGAGAGGGGAAGGGAGTTCAAGGTCATTACAGGGAGGTGGTGAGAGCTCTGTGAGAGCAGGGGACAGTGTGGAGCAGGGCTGGATGGGAAGAGGGTGTGGCAACCACCAAGGGAGCAGGGCTGGAGAGGGGAGGGCCCATGCCACGCAGGGAGACCCTCCTCCTGGTTCGTCTCGGGTTTACCACTGTAAGTCCTACGGCTTGGGGACCCCTCGGTCGTGGGCAAACAGGGATGGCTGGGCACCCTTGGGCCACTCCAGGCAGGGAAGCAGGACCATGCTCCCAGGAATCTCTGTGACACCACCCGTCCCCTGCCCCTTTATGAAGGCCCCTCCTCACTTCCATCTGGCCCTATGGGGCAGTTAGAGCAGGGTAAGCAGCTCTCCTGTGTTATGAAGCTCAGGGACACGGTGCTCAGAACCATCCTGGGAAGGTGAAACAGAGCCAGTCCCTCTCCACCTGCCTGGGGGGCGGGGTGGCGGGGGTCCCTGGGCTGGGAGGCCTGCCCTCTGGTGGTCCCAACCCCACCTTGCTGCTGTGCGATCTGAGAGGGGTCAGTTTCCCGGGCCTTCCTTCTTCTCCTCACCCATGAAATGCAGCCCTCTTTCTTGGGGAAATGGCGTCCGGAGGAGCTGAATTCAACCCACCACCCTTAGGAGAGGTTAAAAGGGGTGGTGCGAGGGGGAAGGTGGAGTTAAAGGTATGAGGATCAAGGGATCATTCTGGGGTCGGGCAGACTTAAGAAAGGGAGAGAGAGGAAAGCTGTGTTCAGAGGGGGGGTGGGCGTGTGGGGACAAGGAAGGGGAGAGATGGATGGGGGGGGAAAGGCTTTCAAAGAGAGAATGAAAGAAATGAGTTATTCCAGTGTGGGGAGGTTGGAAAAACTCCACTGAATCTTTAAACAACCATTGTCAATTATTCATCTGCTGGTATGAAGGCCTCTGGTCTGCCACAAATCTCCTCCGAGCATGGGAGGGAGAGAGGGAGGGAGGGAGGGAGGGAAACAGAGGGAGTCAGAGAGAAAGAGAAAGCCAGAGACTCAGAAAGAAATTGAGACAACCAAAGAAAGGCAGAAGCAGGGAGAGGCAGACATGGGGGGTGGGGAGAGAGAGACACAGAAAGAGAGAGAGAGAGAGAGAGGGAAAACAAGGAGTGGTGAATGGAGGGAGGGAGCCAGAGAGAAGAGGCTGAAGATCCCGTTCTAGAATTTCTGCACTACAAACAATACTGAACGCACAAGTCTTGAATAGTACTTCTGCCTCCTCCAGGAAGCCTTCCTTGCTCCTCTCTCTCTACTGAGGGCTCACTAGGTGTTCCCAGCAACACAGCGTGAGCATGACACTTAAGAAGATAAATGGTCTGGGCAATGCCCTTTTGCCATTTATCCCTTGCCAAATATTTCCTGCGTGTCGCTCTGTGTCGCTCTGTTGCTTCCTGGAGTGTGGCTTGTTCCTGCTGACTGAGAACCTCCAGGGCTCAGGGCCTTGGCCTCTTCCCACCCCCCCCACCCCCTGCACAGCTGGACACAGCACTGGGCACCTGGCCGGGGTGGGGGTGGGGTTCTGGTTTTCTGCAGGCTGGAGGAATTGCTAAGCTCGCTGGGTGCTGCCAGGGAGGAGGCGGGGTTGTGTGGGGGGAGCGGAATCGTGGCCCAGGGCAGGTGGTTTATAAGTTCTCTGTGAATGGAACCAGCCCCTCATCTTCCCCACTCTTGAAGTTGCCTGGCTCAGCGTGAGGCGGGCTTGGGGAGGGGGTGGGGTCTGGGGGCGAAGGGCAATGCTTACAAGTTGTTTAATGTTCGGGAGTTACCAAGTTCAAGAGGACTCTTAATGTTGCACTCTTCACACTCAAAAGCCCACGTCTTCCAAAAATGCCTTCCTGGCCTGTTCAGAAGGGAAGTGGAGGCTTCCTCCAGCCCTGCTAAGCCCTGCCAAGCCCTGCACCTGACTCCGGTGCAGCGTGGGACCCCGGTCTCAGGGAACACACTCAGGACAGGAGCTTTGGACAAAGTGGCATCGGAAAGGCGTGGGTTTGCTGGGTGTGAAGGTGGACCCAAGGGTACACTAGGGGAAGGGAGCCTGCTGGGGCTCGTTGGGGCTATGGGGCTGAGACTGGCAGGCCCTGGGGCAGTGGGGAGCCTCTGCGGCCTCCAGGCAGATAGGGCACAGACCCCACGTCCCCTCTACTCCCTTCTCCCTTCCCAAGGTGCTCCTTCCTCCAGAAATTGTTCCATTTCCTCTTAAGCCAGAGTAGGCTCTGGAGGGATTCAGAAGCAAAATTGTTTCTTGGGCTCTAGGGACCATGCTCCTAGACAGACACACTCCAGGAATCCGGAGCTGCTGAGAGGCTAACAGCCTGAACACACAGGTGGAGAGAGAAGGGAGGCAGGTCATCGCTGGCTCGCCACTCAACCGGGGGTCCACTGCCACTTCCCCCCAGCCTCCCAGGAGTCACCCACTGTGATGGTGCCTGGAGCCACTGCCACCCAGATGTGTTCCAGGGCTGCTCAAGTCTCTTCTCTTGTTCTGTGACTCTGTCTGTGGCTTGCACACTATACGTGTGCTCACACCCATGGTCCGTGTTTGCGTGTCCTATCGTCCAGTGCTGGGGGAGAGTGTGTGCGGCTGGACTCCTCTATTATTCTGTAACTACAGTCTGCTGCTCCCTGGCAGCATTCTAGTGCTTGTCACTTTGTCTCCTGTTTGCGTGAGCTTGTCGATTGCTATGTAATTTTGTGTGGTTGCTATGGAACAGTGACCATCGCTACACAGCTACCTGTGATTTCACGGAGCTGCCCGTTGTTGATACCCACCCATGTTCTCTTGCTTGGGACGGGGATTGCTGGCCATGTGGGTGTCTGGGTCCTGCCCTGCTCCTTGCAGGCTCTGGTGAGTGGGTAGGAGCTGGAGCTGGGGGCTGGGTCTCCAGGACCAAACTAGGGCACAGGATCAGAAGTGGGAAAAGCCAGATGGTAAATCTGAGCCAAGGGAGAACGAGAGAGAGAGAGAGACAGACACATACACACACACTCAGAGTGAGAGAGAGAGAGAGGGAGGGAGGGAGGGACAAATGATTGGTTGGAGGACTGAAGGCAGGGTTGGGAGGGAAAACGGAGTGGAACCAAGAGTCAGGCACCAGGAGGGGACAGGCTGGGTCTGACACAGGCTGTGATGGGCAAGGGAGAAGGGCAGGCCCTGTGTACTGAATACGGCATGGGCGTCTGAGGGACCCAGTGGTGTCAGTCTGACTGAACAGGGCAGGGATGGGCATATAGGCCTCTGCAGCTACCTGTTTTCATCTGGTTATGAGCAAGGCAACGTGGGACAGTGGCATCAGGAGGCCTTGGGCAGGGTCACCCCACCTCGAGGCCTCCTCATTGCCATCCTTCATCAAATTAGGAGATTGGACTAGACGCCCTCTAAGGTTCTTTCTGATGGCCTTGCTATCCAGCCAGGGGTTCCATCACATGGCCCAGTATTTACCACCACCTTGCCAGGTGCCCAGCAAGGGGGAGGGTAGAGGGACCAGCCCACCGACGGGAGTGCTGGGAGATTTCCAGAAGGGGCACGCTTCCCTGCACACATGTGCCCAACTCACAGCCTCCCTGATGGCCTGTGGGTATAGGGGAGTCCTAAGCTTCCTTGTACACGCTCACAACCTTCCAGAATCTTGTCTTAGTGCCCTTGCAGTGACTTTTTTCTTATCCTCCCCTCCGTGACTCACAATGGTTACTTGGCCTCTTGCTCAAGAACAGTTCCTGCTCTTGGCTCCCCTGAGCAGGCCAGTGTCATCTCTTATATTTGAATCCTGAAGAGAAGACAGAGACTGACCGCAGGCACTATTCATGCTGCCAAAGTCTCTAAAGACAAGGTCTCCATATTTATTTTCAACCCGGTTGAGAGCCAAGCTGGCAGGTGAGCCCTGAGCGCTGCTTTCCCAAGGGGCAGAGGTGAGAGAAGGGAGTGTCAGAAGGTGGCCCATGGGTGTTCTGGCTCCTGTGCCAGGGTGGGCAGAGGCAGTCCCCGTGGGCGCATCTGGGCACGCCCTGCAGACAGCAACCCTTCCTAATCATCAGATGGGATGTGTTCCAGAAAGGTGCAGAAGTGCCAGGGGAAGATAGGGAGGCTGTTGGTGGAGAGGGGCAGGTCCTGAGAGGGGGAGTCCCAGGGCTTCCCCAGGGGACGGTGGCCTTGGCTGGGGCCTTTCCTCAGGATCTTTCTGATCAGCGTTCCCCATGGGATCCGCTGCGGAGGAAGGGAGGAAGACATACATGAATCCACCCGTGGTAGCCCAAGTGGGGACTTCGACTGGACTGTCTTTTGGTGGCCTGCTCTGTACTTCTCTGCATTAAGGGGCCAGGATTCAGCACTGATCCCTCACCAAAGTAAGCCACCACCTTGGCCAACTTCACCAACCCTTTCCCAGCATCTGATCAACTGCAAATTTCATGAAGGACGCAGACCCTGTGACCAAAGATGGTGTCCTCTTTTCTTTGAGCCCCAATCTCCTCTTTGAGAAGTTAAAACTAATGACTCAGAGGGGCATCCCCTTACCCGGAGGGCATGCTCCTGAGAAAGTTCTGGGCTGATCCCTGCTTAAGTCAATGGACCCCTGTCTTACAAGTGTTCCAAGGGTTTCCTTGGAAGGAAATTGTGTGTGAGTTCCATTCAAAAGGTGAAGAAACTCTGTAAAATGAAGAATCCACACCTTCCACCAGGTTAGCTTGGGGGTAAGTCACATACTGAGGGTTCCTGAAGGGAGGTCTCCTTGCCACTAGAGGAGTGAACCAGGTGACAATCAAAGCCCTTCCCTGTGACCTCTATCGCCGCTCTGGCCCTCCCAGCACTGGGTGGAGACACTCACCATTTCATGGGACATCTTGGGCACCTGAGGCTCTATCTCCATTTCCTGAGAGGTAGATGGGCTGGAGTCCATACTAGAGCTCACTGTGGCCTTGGACCAGGACTCACGGATGGTACCCAGCTTCTCATCTAATATCTTGGGGTCCAGGATGGGCAGAACCTGGCTGCTGTTTGGAGTCAAGAAGTCTTCCGGCTTCTGGGAAGAGAAGGTGCGAAGAAATTTCTGTGTCTTTCTACCACAAATGTCCTTTCTAGATGTCCCCCCAACTCCCAAGCCTCTCCTCTTCATAGCTCAGGAGGCCCAGCATGCCTGGCCCCTGTCTTCCACCTGCCCCCTCGCTCCCTGGGCCTTACCACACTGTCCTTGGCATTCCTCCTACGAGCGAAACTCTCCTGCCTCAGGGCCTTTCCCTCTGTTGTGTTCTCTGCCCAGATAGATTCATGGGTCTTTCCATGGCTGTCCTCTTCTCATCATTCAGATTTCTGCCCAGACATATTCTTCCCAGAGGTGCCCTGGCCTTCAGGAGAGAGGCCCACCCTCTCTAAAGTCACCTCTCCTCTATGTTCTATTCACATTATCCCTTTTTACTGTTCATAGTACTTAACTCTACCAGAAAGTTAAACTTGAAAAAACTGATTTTTGCTTGTTTACTGTGTGCTTCTCTCTCACCCCCACACTAGAATGTAAGTGACATGTCAGCAGAGACTTTGTTTATCCCCAGGGTCTGTCACTGTATGTGCTCGGTAACTATTTGTCGCAGGAATAACCCAACCGTGCCATCCAGGACTCTCACATTTGGTGCAGGAACATCATCCTCGAACATTGCCATTCTCCTCTGACACCCTTTGCTGGGAAGATTTCTTTTCCATTTCACGTCTGCCTTTAGCCTCCCACCTATCACCTGTTAAACAGTCTCCTCTCTCTCTGCTCTGCTGGGCCTCCTCCCTGTCCTTCCAGGTTCTTTTTCCTCTTCCATTCTCCCCTTAGCATGACTGCAGCTCTCATCTCTGCCGATCCAGAGCTCAACCTCACTCAGATACCGGCATCTCCAGGAAATCTCGATTTCCCCCACCCACACTTGCTCAAAGCTTTTCTGGGATCTTCTAGCCCAGCAGCTGACTCTCTCTGTTCTCACACTGTTCTCTAATCCTAAGCTCATTTGCCATTTCTTTTTTCTGCCCAAACTTTATGTTTCCTGGGCTTGGGGACATGTGTGATGCTCCCTCAGAGGAGAGATTAGTTTAAAACTCTCTTGGAAACCCATGGTTAGCCCTAACACGTGTATGTTGTTCAAAGGCTGTAGGGACCTCCAGGATGACCCGCTTCTCCCCTACATCAGTTGTTGGAATTCTGTCTTGGCCACATAGCGGATAAACATGCCACCATCTGTGCTAGAAGTAAATAGAACAATGGGCACAGTGCCAACCAGCACAGGATATGCTCGGGGTTAGAGGTGCCTGAATGTCTGACCCTGAACAAACAGAGGAAGAACAAGCACGGGTGGGCCTCCCTTAAAGTGACACTCTTTCTATAAAAACCCACAGATACGAACCGGATGAATCAAGATAAAGACCCTTCACTTTACCACTTGGCTCCTTCCCATAATGATTCCTTTATTCCCTTTTCATGGTAAAATTTTGTCTGCAGAAGTTCCTAGGGGTACCTAGGTGGCTCAGTCAGTTAAGCATCGGACTCTTGGTTTTGGCTCAGGTCATGATCTCAGGGTCATGAGATTGAGCCCCACGTTGGGCTCCAGGCTAGGTGGGGAGTCTGCTTGAGATTCTCTCCTTTTCCCTCTTTCCCTCATCCCCCTGCTCTCTCTCTCTCTCTCTCTCTCTAATAAAAGAAGTAAATAAAAAAATAAAATTTGGCATGCAGAAATTCATTAAGTTTTTTCAGGCTTGTGTCAGTAGAGTGAGCAATAGTCATGCAAGGACAGAAGAATCCAGTTCAGTCTGGGCCTCATCTCCCACCCACCCTGTCAGATGGGTGCAAGGACAGATAATTCCAAAGAGAAAGCAATATATGAAGATTTTTGGAATGAGAAGAGTGAAGCATTGGGTGACCTTGAGGCTGATCTGGGCACTTATTGTACTTCATAACCAAAACTCCTGGGCCTGTTTTGTCCCTGGGCTTTAGGCCTGGCTATCTCTCTCACCTGCCTCTCCCAGTGGCTATGGTTTAGGGAGAACGAGAGTCATTGTGAGTCTCCCCACTGAACACCCCAGTGCCTCTGTATACCATCTGAATCAGGTGCTTTGGGGTTGTTTTGTTGCCTCTGCACTTTCAGATGTGTGGGTAGATGGATACAGGACAGAATAAAGGAAAGAACAGCTAGCCAGGGCAAAGATGATCTCCCCATTGACCAGCTGGCCCCTGGGACTGGGGTGAGATGCTGATTCAGGACCTGTAATGACATCTCTCCTCATTTCCAGGCAGAAAGCCAATCTCACTGCCCTGGATTTCATAGACTGACATCTAATCCAGTTAGGGGAGGAAGTGGAAGTAATGAAATCAAGGGAGAGATCTCCAGAGGTGCCCCATCAGCTCTGAAAGCGGGGACACACTGCAAAGGGAGTCCCTTCCCCCATTGTCTGTCTCCCTCACATCTACCCTGTATGGACCAAGCACCAGCTGGGTAAACCCAGTGACCCAGAGCTGACATATACTGGACCCTTAATCAGAGCTGGGCACTTATCAGGTACTTAAAATAATTTTTTTTCCCCAAAAGACAGACAGACTGTCACATGTGGTGCCTCATTTAGAGGTGTCTGGACTCTTGGAAGCTTGGCTAGCCTATGTTCCTCTATGACTGAACCCCGAGAGCTTATTGGGAAGTTCTAGCTGGGCAGGGCAGCTACTATACACCCTTGCTAGAAGAACAGTCTTCCTCCATCTAGAGAGCACAGCTTCGGGAGGGATGTATGTGGAGTGGTGAGGGAGGAAGGGGACACCTGCCTAGCCAGCCAGGTCAGCTGAACCAATCCTAGTGATCACTCTCACATCCACTCACCAGGTACTTTTATGTGGATTCTGAAATTTATTATAATTAATTTTTCATCACAAAGATAAGATTAAAATGACACTGACCCTTCAGTCCAGACGAGAGACTTCACCTTGTCAGTCTCTGGTAGGCAGGTTGTGGGGGAGGATGTTCTAAGGAGGAGGGAAGGAAAGATAGGGTGTTCGTGGATGTCAACTTTTCTGCCCCTTCTGATCCATAGGTGCTCTTCCTGCGGCTCCTGCCAGACTGAGAGGATCTACTCTGCTCTGCCCTCTCCAGGGCTGGCCCTGGCCTGTATTTTATCCCACAGCTGCTTCACGCTAGTACCCTCCACCTCCCACACCCATCCTTGCAGGACTCCTGCCCACGATTCTAATCTCCTGCTCTAATCAACTTTGCCAGGATCCATCTTGGTCTGGGAGTTGGGGCAAGTGAGTGGGTAACTTTTATAGAATAATCTTTATATTCCCAAATGGTAGAAGCCCCAAAGGGAAGAACAGTGTTCAGAGGCAGTGGCTCTTGTCATATGAGCTAAGTGGCACCAGGAGGTTCCCAATACCCTACACAGTGCCTCATTTCTCCTTAACACTGCCTACTCAGACTGCTCAGCTTCAGTCTGCTCACGTTGTGGGGAGGCAATTGCCCCTCTTGTCCTTGCTTCTCATGGGAAAGGAGCTTGTCTGGGGCTACAAGAAGGCGCCAGGCTGCTCGAAATGGTGGGCGGTCAGGGTGGAGGATGGCAGAGGGGGATAATGCTAAAATGAGGATAAGGAGAGGGTAGGGCCTTGGGGACTAACTCCTCCCTATTTAAGCCCAGGCTTACCTAGCTCTCCTCTTCTTTCAGGTGGGGGTGGAGGCTGCTAGCCCACCCCACATGCCTAGTTGTTTGCTTTTCTATTTGGCAGGCCTCGCCAAATAGAGGCAACTTGGGACTGATAAGTGGCCCCTCATTCTGGTTCCATGGCTACAGCATGTCCTGCTTTATTAGGGCTCTAATTGGAGACCTACTTTGAAAGCTCAAAGCAATGCACAGCCATGTACTGGCTCAGACTCGCTGCGCAGCCCACCACTCCTTGTGCTGCTGCAGCTGCCTCATACCACGTGAGTGTCATGGTGGAGAGAAGACTCCCCTTCCTCGAGCCTCTCAGCCCTGGCTGTTGCCAGCAGAGGAGGGTCTGTTGCGACAGACCAGGCCAATAGCATCACAGGCTCGAGGCTTCTTGGGTCACCTGTTTCCTCCTCCTCCCCTAACATCTTCTGCCTCCCTTCTACCCACTCCATCCCCTAGATCCCTGATCATGCAAAATGCAACAGTTCCAGCCTGCCCTGGCAATCACAGACGAGCCAGGATGCAGCTGCTGTCCTTGGTGCTGAAAGTGCCCGCCTTCCGGCCTCCCTGCCTCTCGCCCCGCCCTGAGCCTTCTCGCTGGAGCGCACACGCTCTTAATTCAATTAGCTGGCCCTGAACCCTCCCCAGGGAACCTGAAGCGGAAACTGACAAATTCTGTTTAACAAAGACATTTGTCCCCCGCCCCACCGGCCTTGGGCTCTGCCCGCCTGTATCCCGCTCATTAGGTATCTAACAAAGTGCGTCCCAAGAAATCTGCTTCCAATCGCTAGTAATTCAGGAGGCCTGATGCAATTTTCTCCCTGATAAGGGTGTCTCTCCCGCTGGCAAGCACCATAATGAGCCCTGTGCAGCAGCTCCCTGATCAGTTACTGCTTTGTCATTTCCTGTGGCCCCAGTTGTAGGTTATCTCTTCAGCTGAAGGCGAGGCTCGGAAAACGGGGCCCTCCAAGAGGGCTTGCTGCATCCCATGCATATCACAAGCCTCATTATGGCATCCTGCACCGTCTTGCAGCTGCATTGGGTTTTGAAGCTCTGAGTCTCTGCCAGCAAAGAAGGGTCTGAGTGTTAATCCTCATTGGGTCCATAATTCATTCTCCAGAAAGTGGTTTTCAGAGGGTTAATCTAAAAGCAAGTTACAGGATCAGGGGAGGGTGCCAGTAATAAGGATATTTAACAATTCTGGCAAGGACTTGAGTATTAAATAGAGCCCTGCTCACAGCTCACTGGACAGTCTGTGGGCTCACTATTGTTAGTTTGGAATCTGGGCTTTCTGTATTTCATCTCTCCCATTGGGTCCCCCCATTTACCTCTTGAGAAAGCTTTCCAACATACAGATCAGAT